TTAGTGACAAGTTTTTTTTCTTTTTGGGTAAACTATCCCTTTTATTGTGGTTCATTTTTTGTACTGATGAGTGTGAAATGCAAAATTTTTGGGGTGTAAACGATTCCTGTTCCTTTTAAAAGTTTTTTAAATAAGTAAAAAATAAAATACAGTGTATTAGTTTTAGAGTCACTGCTTGAGACATGTCAACAGCTAAACTGCTCATCATAAGTCAGTGTATATTAGCGATCCCTCCACCAAATGCCTTGTTGTAAAATTATGCTTTTGAATCTGTAAAATATAGCTATAAAATAACAATAGCATTTTGCGCAGCGCTGTGTAAATATGTTGGGGCGGTAAACCAGGGATTTACCATTGATGTGACATTTCTGTGCCTCCGCATCTTGGACCTGCGGTTCCCTGTATTGTTGGTTTCTGCAGGTTGTTAAGCTATCCAGTCAAGCTATCCGCATGATATAAAAAGTCTGTCAGTGTGGGTGCACGCTGTGGGAGCCCTTTTTTCAGCCCGAAATATGTCTAGAAAAGTTGTCAGGTATGGGTTTTTTTCTCTTTAAAAATGAAATAATTTGAGTTGAGTTGTTGTTTAGATGCAACTATGTCAGCAAACATCTGGAAACGCTCAACATCAGACCGGACAAAGGTGCTCTTACCTGAAGTACATCTTTCTAATATATTAATGCAGTTTTGTGGCTTCTCCCTGAACAGAATGTTTGCATGTTGCAGGATTTCATATAGGCTTTTTAAACTCTGTTGAATTTACATACCTTTATGTCTGGAAGGTTGAGGCATATGAAAATTAATAATGCAAAATGGGGTCAGTGTCTTGTTTGCTGTTCATGGAAGTATCCAAGGACTTAAGCTAGTGCTTTTCCCTAATGCTGTCGATCAGAATCAGTCAAAAGCCAACAGAACAACCACGTGGAAGTACTTTATACCATCAGTTCAAATATGTCCAGCCTTTTTATAATTAGAACACAAATTTTAACTAATGTTTATGTAGTCTTTATATGTATTATTATAAAACTTATATATGAAAAAAAAAATCTCTTTTCAAAGTTTATTTTTTTATTTTTGCAAATTTCATGAAATGTTATTCAAAGAATGTCATTACATTTTAGGGAGTCACATCGCATGATATTTTGATAGGCCGAACTAACCTTGCCTTGTCATAAAAGGTCAAATGATCTGATATTTTAAGAGACTTAAAGGCCCTGTAGCGAACACCCTTCTGAAACCTAAAATGATATTTGGGACACCCGGTCTCATGGACATAATGGACATGCGCACGCGGCAGCCATTGTAAGTCCACAAGACAGTAAGTGCATATGAAGTGTGCCATTTGGGACAGGGCCACACACAATCATGAGGGTCATGATGGCATTTCCTGTTGTTGTTTTTTGCATGCCTCTGCATGTTGCGCCACATGACCGTGATTTGGTGGACTAAAGTTGCAGTACTCAAGTCATTGTATCTATGAATGCCATTTTTGATTTATTTTTGAACATGTTATGTCAATGACATAAACACATTCATCTAATACTTATGAAAGATCAGTAATAAATGCTTTTCCCCAGTATTTCAATCAGGGTGAGATCCATGGCTTGATAGCACGATCACACAACAACAACGTGGCTTTGTGTGTGTGTGTCTGTGTGTGTGTGTGTGTGTGTGTGTAGACATTCTTGCTGACCCAGCACACTGCAAGCTAGTGACCATGGGCCAGCGCATGTCATCTTTTATTCCTGGTCTGGTGTAAATTGATCACTCTGAGTCTACAGCAGATCTTGGCTGTGTGATACTAGCGCTCTTCCCCTCTATTCAATCTCCCATCACCTCCCATTCACCACTGCTCTCTCTCTCTATCTATCTATCTCTCTATCTATCTATCTATCTATCTATCTATCTATCTATCTATCTATCTATCTATATATATATATATATAACTATCCATCTATCCATCTATCTATCTATCTATTTTGGCTTGCTTAGTTGGGGACATTTAATAATCAACAATATTATTGATCTGCCTTACGATAACGCAATTTTCTTCTAGAAACAAACTTTGTTGTATTATTTTCATGTTATCACTGTGAAGCTGCTTTGATACAATCTGTATTGTAAAATGTGCTATATAAATAAAGGTGACGTGACTTGACTTGACTATCTATCTATCTATATCCATCCGTCTATATATCTATCTATCTATCTGTCTGTCTATCTATCTATCTATATCCATCCATATATCTATCTGTCCATCTATATATCTATCTATCTATATCCATCCATCTATATATCTATCTATATATCTATTAGGGGTGTAACACAGAAGTCACGGTTCAAAGAACATTCAAAAGCCACATTAAAGTTTGCAAAATGGTATCTGTCTGTTTACTGACAGAAATCCTTGAGCATGAGGTGTAATGTTGTCAGTACAGCTTCTATGAAGGAGGTCATGCCTGATGACAGACAGGATGTTTTCTGAATGGCCGATGTTTTTGCGGGCGCCCTGTGGTGTCGAGTTTCTATGTATATCCCACTATATGTGGATGGTCTCTGTGCTTCTCCATGACCCTGTGAAGCTATTTTTGACAGAGCTTGACTGTGCGACGTAGGCAGATTTTAAACGCTGTCCAGCATTAGTGCTTCACCTGCAGGTAACTGACACCGACAGCTACTGATCAATACATCCGTACGAACCACAGAGAAACATCAGGGGCAGCTGCACGAGGAAGTGTTGGTGAACTTCTCATGAATAAATCACGTCAACAAAGCACATAATTAGCATTTCCTAACCCTGTCTAAAAATAGCCTGTACTCTGTTCCAAAATTTGACCAAGTAATAGACAGGAACAGAACATTGTCGCTATACTGCATAGTATATTTGCATTTCCTGACATAAATACCAGTGTTTCCAGAGTAACAAAGGAATAGTTTTCAGGTTTTTGGCAAAGCATAGTTAGAAACAAAGTAAACACGAACATATAGGTGATCAAGGGAGAGATGAAGAAAAGTCCAATCACAATTCAGTATTAGAGAGTTGATTTTGAATACTAAGCCTAATGGGAGATTTTCACTCTAAAAGTGTGCAATTACAGTTTTAAGTAAAGATTTACACCTAAAGAAATGTTTTTTTAACAACCATTTCTCATTTCTTAGGTCACTTTTTCAAAACTCTTCACACAGTGATCACAACAGCAGTGAATGTCAGCAAAACTGGGGATCATTTATCATTGTTTGGCACAAAATGCATTCAATGACATCTGTCAAATTACATGAATTCTTACTCAAACACAAGCATCACCAAAACTGCGTACCGAGGCCAATTTGCATTTACGAAACTGTTTCAAAACCTAACATAATACAAAATAATCCAGAAATTTGCTACATTTCTGCAGGGATTCCATATACAAATATATTCTAAATCTAAAAAATGAAACACTGTCAAAATGATTAGATTTAGCTGAACACCTACACAGGTTTCATTACCATTTACACAAAAGGGGAAAACTTAGGAATAATTTTGTACTGTAATTAATGTATCATGTGATGTGAAATATACTGCAGTGAATTATAAGCAGCAGAGAGTGTCATTCTTGTTTCGTAAAGAAATTTTACAAAAGAAAACATTGTGCTAATGCTACCTGTTAGTGTTTTTAGCTCAATGTTTTATGAGTGACAAAGTGTGTTTGTTGGTTGACAACCTTTGCAGTGTTATGGGAGAATGACTTGATTTGAGACATGTATGACATGTTTTGGTAGTTTTAGTGTATTTTGAATTAGAAATTTACTGCTGTGCCAAGCTGTAAGTATTGAGAAATGTTTGTTAGTGATTGTAAACAACTGTAATATGATGTAGACTTGCATGAGGACTCACATTAGCCTACTTCTTTTTATATGTGTAAAGGTAAAGAATGGTCCAGCGTCTATTGTTAATAGCGATGTATGAAGCACAGCTCACATTGTGCAAAGGGACCAGGGTTCAGATCCCATGTAACAAAAGTACGACTGAACTTTTCATAATAATGCATTTTAAGGTAATGAATTTAGCATTTGCATGCTAACATGTAAATGCAAACAAGGGGGTCTGTTGAATGTAGGCACAATTTTATGATCTTATGTCCTCGAACCCTGATTTACATCACACACCAAAGTCTATACTTTCTTATTACCAGCCGAGTACATACTTGAGACACACCCACAAAACATTTAATGGTAGCACTTTATTTTACAGTCATGTTTCCCAGGTACACTATGTACTTATTATAGTAATTACAATAACTGGGTAATAACTAAGTACTAACCCTGAACCAACCCCTAAACCTAACCTTAAGCCATATTGTATCTTATATTACCCAGTACTAAGTACACTGTAAGTACAGGTACTGTCAAATAAAGTGCAACCCATTTAATTACTTAGTACACTTTTAAATGTTACAGTACATTTCTGGAAAAGTCACATTTATAAAAACAACAACACTTAAAACATTTAAAAGCTGAAACCAGCTGACAAATTTATGTTCTAAAACCATTTTAGGAAAATTTAATTGCAATGTTTCTAAAATGTTAAAATATCCAGTGTTCTGGTTGTAATTAAAATTTTATTTAAAAGGTTATGATAATGTTAGTCCAACGTTCTCCTAACTTTTCGTTCTCAGAATATAACATTCTTTCAATGTTTATTTGTAATAATCTAAGAGCGTAAACGTTAACATCCAGCAAATATTAATATCATAAGGAACGTTGTTTTCTCTCGGCATCATGAGAACGCATATAAAATATTGATGTTATAAGAACGTTTTATCTTAACATTTCACAAAACATTAGTGGGAATGTTACCTGGGAAATTATCTACAAAATAGCATTTGAATGGACTAATTTAAGCACAGTTGGAGCTGCAGAACCAATAGAAAACACAAGGGATTTCATAATCCAGATTTATTACCAGGGCAAGGACGTATAATGTGTGCTGTGATGGTGCAATACTGATCTCTGTGTTGCAGGAGAGGAGGGCTCAGAATCACATGCAGAGACTCCAGGCAGTGAAACCAGTGGAGAAGCCAGCGCATATCAGACCTGCGCCCACACCGTGCTCAAGGTGCTGGGGGGCTTACTGGTGGTCCTGTGCATCTCCTCGTCCTGGGTCGGCACCACACAAGTGGTTCAGCTCACGTTCAAGTCCTTCTCCTGTCCCTTTTTCATCACGTGGTTCAGCACCAACTGGAACATTCTCTTCTTCCCGCTCTACTACTCTGGGCACGTGGCCACTACCAGAGAAAAACAGACGCCCATTCAGAAATTCAGGTGAAGTCTCAATGAATGAAAGCACGTTTGGATAGGAAGTACAATAGAAGCTGACAGGCAACTTACTGCACACCTATTAGAGAGACAGATCCCCTAGGGCAGGTATGGGACACTCTGCACTGTCCCGCAGTTCAGCTCTATAGGCCTAGCCTAACACATCTGATTGTAATTTGGAAGATTTTGGTTAAACTTTTAGGTATGTATGATTGGGGATGGAGCTAAACTCTGCAAGACAATGACACTCCAGGACCAGAGTTGCCCATCCCTGCCCTAAAGCAAGGGTCGGTAGAAACAATTCAGTCCAATTCTTTGAAAAAGGTCTGCTCAAGAAACAATTTAGACAAATCTCTACTTCTCTTATATTTGTGTCAAGATTTTCAGGGAATAATTAATGACATTTCTGTTTATTCTTTAAAAGATTTGGAATGCAGCAACAAGTGTAACACTTTAGTTTAGGGTCCAATTAGGGTTTATTAGTACTTATGAAGCACATATTAATCCTTTATTCTTCATGACCATATTCTACATCCCGTAATCCTACCAAATTTCTAAACTTAACAACTTCCGGTAACGCTTCCTTTTACAGTCTTGTTACCCATGTTCATTCTATGTACTTATTATAGTAATTACAATTACTGGGTAATAACTAGGTACTAACCCTGAACCTACCCCTAACCCATGTACTTACCTTATATTAGCCAGTACTTTCTAGGTAAGTACACTGTAAGTACACGTAAGTACTGTACTGTAAAAGAAAGCGTTACCCAACTTCCTTACTAACTATTAATAAGCAGTAATTATGAGTTTATTTAGGCAAAAGTCGTAGTTAATAGTGAGAATTAGACCCTAAACTAAAGTGTGACCACAACAAGTTATATGGAGCACTTTAATGATACTTTTATGATCTTTTTGGATCCTTTTTGAAGTTAGAACATCTCAATATTTTACAAGAGGTTGATTTTGGATGAATTGTATAATTTGATTCATAAAAAAATGTATGGCTCCAACAACTAATCGATAAAATCGATTATTATCGTCAATGAAAATAGTCAACAACAACGAATTTGATTATCGATTAGCCGTATCTGCGCGCTGTTCCCAGGAAACCATCAGCCAGTCACATCGCTTTACAGTAGTGAATACTGAATAACCCATTTATATAGACAAAACGCATATGGAAAATAGGGGAGGACACAGAGTTTGCTGCTGCATACATGGTAGGCTACATGATTCAAGCTGTCTGAAACATGAGAATGCGTTATGTACATTGCTTCAAACAAAAGCATAAGCGTTGGTAACACTTTATTTCGATGGTCCACTTTAGACATTCTGAAACTACATGTTAACTAAGGTGTTGTGTTTAAAGTTGACATGTACAGCATTATCAAAGTAAGCAATACATTTTCCTCTCATTTCATGATGTAGGGAATGTAGTCGGTTGTTTGGAGAGGATGGAATGTCTCTGAAGGTGTTGCTGAAGAGAACGGCGCCTTTCTCCATCTTGTGGACGCTGACTAACTACCTGTACCTGTTAGCACTGAGAAAACTAACCGCCACTGACGTGTCAGCGCTCTACTGCTGCCACAAGGCCTTCGTCTTCCTCTTGTCGTGGATTGTCCTCAAGGATCGCTTCATGGGTGTGCGGGTAGGTGGAATAAACCTGACCATTACTCAGCTAGTTGCAGCATTTCATGTCTATTTACTAATTAGCGGTCTAACTAAGCATCAACACAATGTTTACCTCAGCAACCGTTCTACCTCAGCAATCAAGGAAGTTGAAATATGGCAAGAAATGTATTTGGTTAAAATGCTTTAAAATTCATACAAAATCAGTAAAAAAAAAAATTCTTCCAAAAAGACTATTTTTTCAATGGGAATGGCAAATCATCATGATATTTTGTATACAAGTAGAGGCATCCACAAGAACATCTATACCAAAATTGATAAGAATTGGCCATAGAGGGCGCTATAATGTTTACATAGACATTTTTATTTGTATCTCAGGAACTGAATGGGATAACCTCTAAATTCTTGGCTTTTAATCCTTCAGTTTGCCTGAATATAGTCATTTGGTTTTCATTCTTATTTCAATAAATAAATAGGGTAAAATGGGGCTAAAGGCGCACCGGGGTAAAAGGTGCATTTGACTTTGTTCTATTTTAAACCACTAGATGGCACAAATTCAGCTCAGCTCTTTTCTTAACCGCTTTTAAAGGGGATGTCTAATGCTATTTCATGCATTCTGACTTATTTACACTGTTAAAGAGTTGGATTCTCATGCTAAACATGGCCAAAGTTTCAAAAAACAAGTTGGACGTATGATTTATGTGCCAAATACACTCCTTCTTCCGGAAGAGTGCGTGCACACACACACACACACACACACACACACACATCAACCAGAGCAAGAGCAACGCTCATCAACGTGCAAGTTTGTGTTACGGAAGCCGTCGACTTGGTACAGCGTATCTGTCCTTTATAAATCTGATCAAACTAAAGACTCTTCAGAGATATGAAGGAAGCAATACTACTCTATAGGTACTCAAGATTAACATGAGATTGGCAGAAACTGATATGTACTTTATTTGGTGAGTATTTAATTAGCAGGATCGGCTTTATCACAAAATAAACCCTTTTGGGTCACATGTGCTTTGCATTGAGACTGATCACCCTGTCAGGGTTTATTTAGTGACAGTGACTGTCCGATTTTACATTATCCTTTACATATACTCACAATAGTTTGGATCTATGAATGAATCGCCATTATTTCAGTGAGAGAGCTGAAATGAGTTGCATTAGAAGCACTACCTGTTGATATATTAAATGATTCATGAAATTGGAGCTTGGCAATTATAGAGAAGGGACACGTGATTTTTAACAGATACAAATGGTGGGTCAATGAGAATCTATTCTCGTTCAAGTATAAAAAAAAGCTTTGCTTTGCCAGAAGCTATTATTATGCTTACAGTATGTCTGAATTCTTGACTTTCGTTGGACTTGATGTTTTAGATCTGGATTTCAGGCTAATTACTCCCAGAAAACAGTTTTATATTTTTAGCTATCCAACTCAAATATGAAAGCAGGCAAGTGCAAATCAAAATCGTAACCTCGAGTGCACTGATGTTTATTTTAGTATAAACCTCAATTGTTTTTTTGAAGGCTTTATTGATTAATAATATCTTTGTAATCTTTCCTTTTAGATTGTGGCTGCCATTATGGCTATCACAGGCATCGTGATGATGGCGTATGCTGATGGTTTCCATGGGGATTCCTTTATGGGTGTGGCCTTGGCAGTCGGCTCCGCCTCCACTTCTGCTCTCTACAAGGTCAGTCCAGATAGTTTTCCTGCTCAGCTGAACATACTGATTCCCAGAAGACCCTTGACGAGCATTAAGACTCCTTTAGTATTGATATGCTTTTACTGCATAACCTCTTTGTATCACCCAGGTGCTGTTTAAGATGTTCCTCGGCAGTGCCAATTTGGGAGAGGCTGCTCATTTCTTCTCCACGATGGGCTTTTTCAATCTTATCTTCATCTCCTGTGTTCCCCTTATCCTGTACTTCACCAAAGTGGAGCACTGGGGATCCCTCTCGTCTTTGCCCTGGGGTTACCTCTGTGGCCTGGCCAGCCTTTGGCTAGGTAACGTGGAATTATGGAAATAACTGATTCTTCACTAAGCCCCAACTAAAAAAACCATCACTGACCAATCTTATCTCAGCAACATTTAACCTGCAGTAATACATTGTAACAATACATTGTCCATTTGTAATCTACAATAATCAAATGAAATATTTGTGGTTTTTATACACTGAAAAAAAGTTGATCAATACAAGATCTTGACCAAAAATCGATGCACCTCTTGATGGAAATAACATCACAACATTTGTTTCCTTCAAGAGGTGGATCAGTAGCTGCGTTTACATGGTTCAATCGGAATTAAATCAATCCGATTGATGAATTCGAACACGGTGTTTACATGAACGATAAATAAAGTAATCGGGTTAATGTGCGCGTTTATATGTCACACGTTTCAAATCCGATCTGATTTTTTGACATGCGCACACTGCACGAATATACAGAGTTTCCCGCTGTTCACGCATAAATATTCTCCTCTATTGGTTCTTTATTTGTTTTAAACAGCAGACGTAATATTAATTCGTCTCTGGTCAAAATTTAGAGCATATTGACAGTTTTGCCGTGCCGCTTACTGATCACGCAATAAAAATGCCCCTCCACGCGGCCAAAACCAGTCGTCTGTGGATGAGAATCCAAAACAAGGACTGATGGGACGTTGTCCTGCTTCACCTAACAGACGCGCGAGTGAAATGAGAATTTTAAAATGACGGGAAACTTATTAATATGACACTTTATTCAACAGGAAAAACAGCTCGTTCAGCGCGTCATACGTCATTACGTTTATTTAACGTCATTGCACATGCGCAGTCCTTTCAGTTTCGGTTTTCAATACGATCAAGTGTTTACATGTTCTCTCGATCGGATTACAAAAGGAGTAAACCACCCCTTTCAATCCGATCGAAATTTCAATCGGATCGAGCTCAATCGGATCGATTAAGGTGTTTACATGAAGGTTTTTTAGTCCGATTGAGCCGTCAATCCGATTATAAGTGTCCATGTAAACGCGACTACTGTTTTGCATTGTATTGATAATGCAAGAGTCCAGCACTCTGTAAAGTCTCCTCCGGCACATCCCAAAGACTCTTCACGCTCCTCACAACCATTCTTTCACAATTTGAGCCTGATGAATCTTGACATTGTCATCCTGGAATATGGCCATGATGTGTCTTTCTAGATGGTTGTTTAAGAAATGAAAAGCTACACACTCCATCAATTGGAGTTAGAAGAACTGTTGCCAAACATAATATGCTAGTTTACGCGACACAGTTTTCAACTAAAAACGGAAAACGTGTTATGCATTTTGGCCTTTAAACTGGTTTCAAAGTGCAAGTCTTTGAAAACTATACAATTACCGTCTCCGTGTAAACTACAAAAACGCAAATTTGTGAAAACGGTGACATCATGCACATGCATATTACGTTTTTAGTCTATAGACGCACAGTGTTTCTTTACAAAGTGACATCGCCATCTACTGCCCTGGCAGCATAAGATGGTGTTTTTAGTCATTTTCCCGGATCCGTGTGAATGGGATTATTTTGACAACATGATGGCGGGACAACCTGCCAATCACATGAGATCCACCAATAGCAAACCACAACCATCCAATCAATTCCTGATGGACAAAATCAGGTCCCATCCTGCACTTTTTCTTGTTCGAAAAGCTGTTTAACTCGGATGTAGGGATATACATAAGGCAGAAGAAAAGGCAATCGCAACTTCCATTTCATGCCAACTTTTAGTTTTGTATACAAGTTTGTATACATTTACTGCCGTTAAATCCTGCTGATGGTTTACCACTTGATCACTGCATGTTCAGATGTGAGTTAGTGTTGTAGTAGATCAAATACCACCCTTAAGTACACTTCCAAGAGTGCTTTAAGTGCATAGTAAGCAAGAGAAATCAGGTTAGAATCATCAGTTTACACCTCGAAGTAGCATTTCTTTGATATCCAATATGTGCTGCGTCAGATGTGTAAAGCTGGATATAGTAACAGATCCACTTATATTTACTGTATATTTGAGCTGAACCGGAGCTCTGTGGCTCTAGGGTGTTTTAAGGATAATATGATATCCATTAACTTTTGTCACTCGTTCAAATCACATGATGTTCTCGGTGTATTTAGCCACTTGGAGAGGACTGAATGACAAAAGATTCTATATGACCAAACAAACAAACCATTACATAAAGTCCCTGTTTCTTATTTCTCTCTCACTCTCTCTGTTGTAGTATTTAACATCCTGGTCAATGTAGGAGTGGTACTCACATATCCTATTCTCATATCCATTGGGACGTTACTCAGTGTTCCAGGCAATGCAGGTGCGTGAGTCTATACTGTACACCACAAATATATATATATACATATATGAATCCAGATATGAAAATTCTGTCATCATTTACTCACTCTCATGTTGTTACTCTCAGTAAGACTTTCGTTCATCTTCAGAACACAAATGAAGATCCATAGACAGCTACGCAACTACCACTTTGACGCTTCAAAAAGTTCATAAAGAGATCGTAAAACTAATCCATAAGAATTGAGCAGTTTAGTCCAACATTTTCTGAAGAGACTCGATCACTTTATATGATGAAATGTAAGCTGATATTTCCTACTGACACTACAGCTAAATGTTTAAATAACTGTCTTAAAACCCTTTTTTTGGGTGAAAATACCGTGCCGAAGACTTTTGCACAGTACTATTCATGACAGGTTTTTGTGAGAATCGCACTTGAAGTACAGCAGAGCAAATCTCTCACCCTCCCCTAAACAAAATATGAAACTCTATTGTAACTGAGTGTCTTGACTCAAACAACTGCACCGTGACAAAGGGGTGGTGAGGTTGCCATGGCGACAGTAAATGCTTTAAGATGGTGCTTGTCTTTCGAGGTCAGTGTGTTAAATCGTGTGTGGCTTTTGTTCAGAATGATTCACTTGCAACAAATAGTCTGATTCATTTGTTATTAATGCTACATTCCTTATGTTTGACTGTGTGCTAAATTTTGAATGTGAATGTATAGATACATTTTATTGTTATAACCCATTGCACATTTTCATAGCCGAGGCTATAAATTTGATTTGATTTTTGCCTTCATTAGCACAAATTGTAAAAGTTCATATTTATTTTGAAGTCAGCAAACTGGCACTGGATGGCAATTACTATTCATCTGAAGAGAACTCGCCCCAAAATATCAGCAACTAGTGCTGATCATTTCTTTATTAACGGTAATTAATTTTATTTCACAGGAGTTAATTGGTTGCATGGCAGAGAGGACTTTGCTAGAGTCATTAAGTCTCACACACTGTTTAGACAGTGTGGGCACAAGTTCACATTTTAATTGTAGAAACTCACTCTTATGTAGTTAAGTAATTAATAGGAGTTGCTAACAAAACACTGTACTATAAAAAGCCTGTAGGATTTCCAGAAATGTTATTTGAAAAAATGTAGTCCACCTAATCAAATGTAGTGCAACCAATATGCAGAAACATGCAGGGAGGGAAAGCATAAAATAGGAAATGATATCATAGAGAGCACTGTTTCGAGGTCAGTAAGTTTCTATAAATGTAAAAAGAAATTACAAAGCAAGTCAGTTCATATGCAATATACACTATGAAACCTCAAAAGACATGGTATTTAACAAAAATAAAGGTAATTGACAAATATAGATAAAAAAAATGTTAAGGTGTACATTGACATGTATTCAAATTGTAAAGAAAATATGTTGTTACTTGTTTGTTTGTGTTGTATTGTATTCTTTGTTTGTGGTGTGTATGCAGACTACTGTTTATACATCTTTACAAATCATTTATTAGTTATTTGCTTTTGCTGTACCCAATCTAAAGTCTATTCATCATTTTAAATTAGATTTAAGATTATATTTAAATGCTATTAAAAAGTTGATCAAAACCACATGAAACTGACAAGAATTGAAAATGTCGATTTTTGCAGATGACCGTTAAACTGTCTGTTTTTCCTCCTCTGTGCTCGGACTGTGTTCAGCCATCGACGTGCTGAAGCATGAGGTGATCTTCAGCGTGGTGCGTCTGGCTGCCACCTGCATCATCTGCCTGGGCTTCCTCCTGCTGCTGCTCCCCGAGGAGTGGGACACCGTCACCCTGCGCTTCCTCACCACCCTGGCCGACAAGAAGACGGAGGAGCACGGCGAGGAGCTCACCGAATCCAGCGTCCACACGCGCAGCCGGAGCAGAGCCAACGGGGCCGTGTCCATCCCCATGGCATGACCTTTGACCTGTGAACGAGTAGCCAGCGATCAGCATTGACCCAACACGTGACAGCCTTAGAGAAAAAAGAGAGAACGATTTGATTGTGTTTAAAGGGTTAGCTCACCCAAAAATGAAAATTAGCCCATGATTTACTCATCCTCAAGCCATCCTAGGAGGATATGACTTTCTTCTTTCAGCCAAACACAATCGGAGATATATTATAGAAGTTTATATTATTGCTTTATAGAAGTAATTAAAATAATCAAAATAACTTCAACAGATGCATAGGAATTAAAATAGCATGCATAACAAATAAAAATAACAATAAATAAAAATGTATATAAAATATATTAAAACAGACTACCTGAATCACTGAGCTCGGGGATCCCCTGTCTGGAATGGAAGAGATTAAAAAATATTAAAAAATATCCTGGCTCTTCCCAGTTTTATAATGGGAGTGAATGGTACCTTAGATTTTGAAGCCCAAAAAAGTGCATCCATCCATCATAAAAGTAATCCACATGTGCTTTTTTGGGCTTCAAAATCTAAGATACCATTCACTCCCATTATAAAGCTTGGAAGAGCCAGGATATTTTTTTTTATATAACACCGATGGTGTTTGGCTGAAAGAATAAAGTCATATGGTCACATAAAGTCACAGTACTTAGGATGGCTTGAGGGTGAGTAAATTGCGGGATCATTTTCATTTTTGGGTGAACTAACCCTTCAAGGAAAGAAGACAAAAGAGAAAGTGAAGAGGAAGGAAGGCATTTTCTTTAATAATAACCACAACAGAAAGATAAGAACATGCTGTCCTGCTCTTTAATAGAGATGACAGTGGAGGCCTGAGTGTTCTGAGAATAGCGTCCCGCTAAAACAGGGATATTTACTGACAGTATTTTTTTATTTCACCGAAGGGACATAGCATTCTCTTCCCTGCCGTTTCTATGGGAAGATACGCATCCATTCCATAGAAGTGGACTTTGAGACTTTGTTTTCCCGCTGCACGCCGTCCCTGCACCCCTGCACCCCTCCGCTAGCCCTCCCCATGGAATGTATTCTATGAATATAGACTCTGTCAGGGCCAGTTCGGCTCACTGTACACATGAATGCATTCAGAGATCAGATCTATATGTATATGAAATATGACGATTATTTGCATTGTATGTAGTAGTGTAATATACGTAGGAGAAAAATATTATGCTTTAATGAATAAGCCTTTCTTTTCCTTTTATAATAAAACGCAAAAATAAAGATCTGCTTTGAAAACTGCCTGTCATGGTATTATTTTGGGCATATAGTGTGATTTCTTTTCTACAAAAAGAAATTGATTCAATATTCAAACATAAAACACATATAGGCCTGCATGTTTCACAGACAGGGATTAGATTAAGCCAGGATTAGGCCTTAGTTCAATTAGGGTTTTTAAGTAGCTTTTATTAAAACGTGCCTTAGAAAAACATTACTGGTGTGCATCTTGAGACAAAACAATGACACACTAATATATGTTAAGATTTGTCAGTGCAAGTTGCGTTAAAACCGCTCAAACATGCATTTTAGGCTTAACCCTTAATTGTCTGTGAAACCCGTGGGATAGACTTTTCAAGAGATTTGAGTTTGTTAAGTAATCTTATATATTTTGGCAGAAGACGCAAGTGTTTAATAGCCAAATGAATTCCTGGTGAAGAACCACACTACCCATAATCCTGAAGAGATCCACCAATCAGAGAAGCCGCTGTTAGAATGGAGACACAAATAGGAAAACATCGTAATTTACATAATGATCTCCCCATACTTTCAAACAACATATATTTGAAGATTTTGCAATGAATTGCAATAAAAAAATGACAATACAAATTGTCGTTGTAATTGTAAATTGTAATAAAAATACACAGTTCAAAAGTAAAATACATTTTAAAAGAAATCAATACTTTTATTCAGCAAGGACGCATTCAATTTCCACAGAACATTAAGCAGCACAACTGTGTTTAACATTGATAAGAAGAAATATTTCTTGAGCAACAAGTCATCATATTAGAATAATTTCTGAAGGATCATGTGACACTGAAGACTGGAGTAATGATGCTGAAAATTCAGCTTTGCATTAAGGTAGAAAACTGTTTTAAACTGTAAAAAATATTCCACAGTTTTACTGTTTGTGTATTTTTGGATCAAATAAATACAGCCTCTGTGAGCAGAAGAGACTTCTTTTCAAAACCTTTTATCGACCCCAAATTTTGAACAGTAGTGTACATTGTTTTTAGACTTATAATGAATGGTGTCATTTTGAATCAATATAAAATAAACAATTGTAGCAGCAGTATTATGAAGCTGTGAGAGATGATTATCACAGAGGTCAGATGCGTCCCATGAGCAGTGATTGTAAAGTCAGGGGATTTCCATCAAACTACAGATGGCTATGAAAGAGCAAAGAACAGAAGAGGTGTGAAATACACATGTCTCTTGGAGGCATCGTGCCTCTGCGGGAAAGGGTTGATTGTCCTTGGAAAATGTTAAAATAAAGATTATTTGGGCATATACATCTGGAAAAGGGCTGATTATCAACTGGCAGGATTCCAGAAGTAGAGAGAAAGACGAGATGAGTAAGATTTAACTGTGGGAAACATTTGGAGTGAATCTTACAAAAATAAATAAAATGCATGGTCATTGCCAAACAGCAGATAAGAAAACATTTATAAGAATATCTCTCTGGCCAGAGACTAATTCAGATGCGGTGACTGACATCTCGACTTTTTTGCTTTGTTCAATAAAGTCTTATTTACTTCTGGAACTCCATCTTCTGAGCTTCATTTGCAAGCAAGATGAGACTTTTTCCCCCCATGACAATGGTCAGTAGTTTTGTATACCAATACTGTTTAATTCGTAAATATTGTAAATCTAGTTTCCGAATCTGACTGCAGTAAATCAAAGCATCAGTTTAGCAGATGAGTGGTATCAGTCGATTTTTAGGACTTTTGCCTCAAGAACCTAAGAAAGACAGGAGATTTGAGGGATGGTACCTTTAAATGACAACTAAGCCTGTGAGCATAAACGCTCTATAGGTTTGAGCATGTGTGAGTGTGAGAATGAAAACTTCCACACACACTGCTCACTGTGCCACCGCTCTGACCATGATACATACAGGAAAACAAACATGCTGATTGACTTAGGAATACTCATCATTACCTCATTTCTCACTGCTATAAACACACTGGGACACCTTCACAGTCCTGTGACAGCTGATCTGTGCGAATACATATAACGACCTTGCTTTCTTGGAAAAGTAACGAGATGTGAGCTGAGTGGGCAGGAGGAACATCTTCAGAGCGCTGGAGAAGCCCATTAAATCAAATGAGGCAGAGAAAGAAAGAGAGTGGTAACAGGAGGGGAGGAATATAGAGAACAGAGGAAGTCTTTAAATCCACATTATGGGGCCCAGTTCGTTCACCCTGGGAGGTGCCGATAACCCTCCATATGCTGACACAGTTCAACGGGAAGATTTACGAATATACTTCCATTCAAAGGTTTGGGGTCGGTAAGATATTTAAAATGTTTTTTAAAGAAGCCTCTTATGCTCACCGAGACTGAATTCATTGGATCAAAAAGACAAATATTATTCACATTTAAATTATAAATTCATTTCTTATAAAATAAAAATATTTTCTATTTTATATCATTTTAATATGCTGATTTGGTGCTCATGAAACATCATGATCACAGTTGTAAATGTTTGTTCTGCTGAATTGGTGGAAACCCTGATACCTTTTTTCCGAATTCTTTGATGAATAGAACGTTCAAAAGAACAACATCTATTTGAAATAGATTTTTTTTTTTTTTTTTTTTTTATAGACGTTTTGCAACACTTGCTGTCACTTTTGATTAAATCTCATTTCTTCAAAAATGTATTAAATTCATAAAACAAACTATTTACATTAAAAAATATATCTGTATAAACACTTTTGGTCATATTGAGTATGTTTAGGGAACTTTGTGTGTCCATTCACATAATAAAAAAGGAGCATTGCGGAAGTTCTGAAATGTCTTACCGTTACTGACACCAGTGGCCGTTAGAGAAACTGCAGCCAGTCTCATGCTCGTTCTCGGTGCGCACGCTCGCACGCTTTTTTTTAAACTTACGAGGAGTTTCCGTGGGTATCTGGATTGTGCTGGAGGCTGGTCGCTTCTTTCCGTCCGCAGAGTCCATTTGAAACACTACTGCTAGCGATTGCCGCTGCTTACTAATGGCTGCCGTACGGATGTAAGCCCAAGTAGACGAGAACGCACATGACGTCACATTTTGTGAATTTTCACGCCAATTCAGACCCGACTCCTCCACACACAATTGAGCCTACAGGCTGATAGAGGCAACCGTGGTGGACAGTCAATGTGTCATTCTTTATATTACATTATGGTTAGCTCATAAATGTACAAATGAAGACTCTATCTTAAAGATTTTAAAGGTCGTAGCAGGCATAAGTTATTATTTATTGAAAGAAAACCAAAAATTGACTATGGGCATAACTTATACAGTGTTGCTGTGTAATAATTGCAAGCCAGCTAGGTTAATTTTCTCTGAAGTCAAGTTATACCTGCTGTAATCCGACAAACAGAAAACTGTCCCTAATTCTGTCAATCATCAAGCCTGGTTCCCTGAGCGGTCGCATGCCTGAGCAATCAGAAAGACAGGCCCTCTCACCGCCGTCCAAGCATTAACACACAGTTATAAAGTAACCTGTGGGGACAGTCACCATGGAAACTTACCTCATTACGCCAAAACCGAGAAATATAAAGCACGCACCTGCCATTTCACAACACAACTTAGCCAGAGTTTCAGTTTGTACGCTTAAGCAGCACTGAAGGGGAATACTCTTTGTTTAGGTTAAGTCAAAACTTAACCTTACGGATTCAACCTGGATACAACATTCAGATGGAGTGAGAAGTTAGGCCTGGATTACACCTTTGAAAGCAGATTAGGAAATTTAGACTAATGTGGTTCCTTGAAAAACATATTTTGATATATATTTGATACATAGCTTACCTTGGCTGGGAGTATAAATGGACCATGGGAAACAGCAACTCCAGGCCAAAGATTTGCCAAGTTGCACCATCTCTTGATCAACCAATGGAGGATGAGCCTTCCCTGCTTCCAACCTCACCATGGATGATAACTGCTGTGAAAGGCACAGAGAGGCAAGAGAAAGGGATTGTGGGACAGA